TTATAGGTGATAACTTGTGTTGAAATAGAAGCTACTTTAAATATAGCTGAAAAATAACTTTTATCAACCGCCTACTTAAATTTGTATTGTTTTACCTTTGTATTTGTAATCAACATAAGCACAACTGACTTACTTGACATGAAGAGCTGTGTTGATTTGATATCCTTGTGGCAACTGAGCTTCTTGCTGGAACTGTAACAGTTTTTCTTATTCATTGGCAAGTTAGTATTCCTATGTATCAGGTACTGTGCTGTGTAGATTAGATGCCACAAATTCTTTGCTATGTTCATTAGTGAGAGTGGAGTCTATTACTATTTCTTTTGGATCTGGGTTGGCCTCAGTGATTTGACTGACAGGAGGTAATATCCTGGGCCTTTTGAGACGAGGTTATGAGAAGCTTCTGTAGGTGCTTTGAACACTCATTCTTGGATTCCAGTTCCCATATTGCAAGGAAACCTAAGCAGCCCTTGAAGAGGTACCCATGGAGAGGATCCAAGTTCCTGGCTGAGCTCCCAGCCAATAGCCAGCAGATTTGTCAATCATAGAGGTGAACTCTTTTGGGAGTATGTCCTGCAGCTCCAGTGGATGCCAAAAACAGGATGAGCCAATTCCACAGAGCACCGCCCAAGTTACTGATTTGTGAGCAAACTGAATACCTGTGGTTGCTTTAAGCATAACGTTTGGGAGAAGTTTGTTACACAGCAATAGATGACCAGAACATTGCAAAGGCATTTACAAATGTTATCTTAGCTTATTCCTCACAATAATTTTAGGAGGTAGCAATTATTGTCCTTATTTTAAAACAAGGACGCTGAGGCTCAGTGAGTTTGCATAATAATCTAGTTGTTAGCTCCAATTTGAAGTGTTTTTTTTTCTTCTTTACTGATATTCATTTTATTTTATTTTTTGTTTTTTTTTTTTTTTTGATATTCATTTTATGATTCCTCTCATTCACAAGACAACTGCTGGGTCAGACAATCTTAGATTTGTCCTTATGGCTGCATCCTTGGGTAGACAGAAGTAATATATTTATATACTATTTATATTACATAGGACTGTGAAGCTCCAAAGATACATATAGATGACTTGGCAAATGGTAGCCACTCAACAATGGGTAAATATGTGCTTTAAGAATTCTTTCCAGGGCAGCCCAGGTGGCTCAGTGGTTTAGCGCTGCCTTCAGCCCAGGGTGTGATCCTGGAGACTTGGGTTCAAGTCCCACATCAGGCTCCCTGCATGGAGCCTGCTTCTCCCTCTGCCTGTGTCTCTGCCTCTCTCTCTGTGTCTCTCATGAATAAATAAATAAAATCTTAAAAAAAAAAAAAGAAAAAGAATTCTTTCCTACAATGAAAAAGCAGCTGGTGGTAAAGGACCCTTAGAAATTGTCTTTGTTAGTGTGAACATGGGTTATACTCATTTAGATCAGGTAGGTGTCAAAATATGTCAAAAGAATGACCTTTTTAAAAAAAATCCATAATATCACATAATAGTTAAGTATGTATGCATATATGGTTTATAAGATACAAAGTTGAATACATTCTTGATTAGTCATCTGTTACTTTCTTTAAAAAAAAAACATTTACTTGTTACTTCCTTTTTAAAGATTCCTCCCAGTTCTAAAATCCTGTGAATTTTACTCTGCCTCATTCTACTTTGAAATGTTGAATAACTTAGAAAAAAATGTTATCAGCCAATGTCCAACCAATGTCAATATCCACCTGCAACCTGTAGCTTGTATGCTATTTCTGAACAAGGATGCAGTTATTCTGAGAACCAACCTTTCTCTCTACTGCCTGCTTCTATTAATTTTTAAACAGTGTGAGTAAAACAGGTCCTATGAAGTTGTTGTCATCTTCTCCCTTTAAGTTCAGGAGTAAAGGTGTGAAGGAACAAGAAGGCAGCTAGAAAAGAGGAGCAGTAAGGTAAACTCTTGTAAACATCATTGGGTTTGTGGTAGTCAATGAATACCTAGCAAATGAATGTACAGTACTTTTTCTTTGTCCATTTATCTCCAGCTTAACAGTGGAGGATGGTAGTAAGCAGCAGAAGAAACTGAAACCTCAAGAGCTTGTAGAAAAGACTCCCCTTCATCGTGTGCTTATGTTCTCAGTCCTAGCTGATGACATGAGCTCAGGCAGGGTTGGGACCCACAGCACCCTAACATAGCTTCTTTGGTTTCTAGTCTCCTCCAAACTAATCTGGCAGACTAAGGGCAAAGTACTACAGAGAAGATCTAAATAATATGATAAATCTGAGTAATATCTATCAAAATCTGTATCCTGCAAACAGAGAATATACTTTTAAAAAGCGTTCCTGGAACATTTATAAAATTGAAAAAGGACAATAAATTCCTCAAATCTCCCCGAATAATACTCCCAACATTTTCTCATCTTGGTGCTGTAAAAATAAAAATTAATATAAGAATCAGAAAATAAAACTACAACTCACACCAAAAACCCCATTATCTAGGAAAAAAGAGCAAAGAAAACAAAAGGAGAACAAGTTTCTTTTGTAAAACAACTTCTGGAACAAGGGGAAATCAACATTGAAACTTCACAACACCTAGAATATAAAAATATGACAACACCAAAACATCTAAGTGATTCAGCCTAAACAGTGCTTAGAATTAAGTCTACAGTTTAAAATCTCATATTGATAATTAGGAAATAAAGATGAATGAATGAAGTTCTAACTCAAGGAGTTAGGGAAAAAACAGCAAATGAACTAAGGAAAGCAAAAAGTAGGAAATTTATTACAGTAGAAGTCAGCTGATTGGAAAACAAAAATTACAGAACATTCAAAACATGCCACTCTGGGAGAAAGAAACAAAAAAAAATATTTTAAAAGGCCAACTGTTAGCTATCTTAATTAATAAGGGAGCAAACATAATTCACAAGGGAGAGCCATATGCACAAAAGAGAAAGTGATAACTTTAACTTTGTTCAACTATAGGCAACTAAATTTGAAAACTTGGCTGGAATGGATGACTTATGATCTCAGCTAAGATAGAAAAACTACACAGACAAATTACCACAGAAGATACCGACAAAGTTGTCAAAGATCAACTTTCCAAACATCCATTGGACCCAGATAATTTTATGGAAATTTTAAGGAACATTCATTCCAATCAATTTAAACTGTTCCAGAGCAAAGGAAAAGAAGGAAAGTTTCTAAATTCACCAGCATAAAATTAATAACCAAATCTCCTAAAGACAGCACACACACACACACACACAAAACTATAGACTAATTTCATTGATCAATACAGTTGCAAATATCTGAAATAAAATATAATTTAGCAACATATTAAAATAATACACATGGACAAGTAGTTTATTTCAGGAATGAAAGAATGGTTCAAAATTACAAAATATATTAATAAAATTCATATTAAAAGACCAAAGGAGAAAAATCATGTGATCATCTCCATAGTGAAAAGTCATATGATAAAATTCAACATGCATTCTTGGCTTAAAATATAGGGATCAGTGGATGCTCCCTAACATGGTTAACTGTATATATTTAACATGATTCTTGAAGTACTAGACAATGCAATTAAAATATAAAGAGGAATGCAAACTGGATGATATAATGTGTAACTAGAAAACACAAAATAATTAAATAATATTACTAATTATAAGAAAATGGCAGTCTGGTAGCTGGGCAGAAAATTAATATAAGTAAGTCATTAGGCTTCATAATCCAGACTGAATTATAAACAGAAAGGACTTCCTTAATATTGGTAACAAAAACAATGAAATTCCAAAGAATAAACTCTTAAGGATGTAGAAGATTTCTATAAAGTAAAATATGAAACATGTCTGAAGGAAGAGCAACCACAAAAAAAAAAGCTTGAATGAATGGGCACCATTTAAAGATATGTACCATGCATAAGACAGAAGCTTTAACATGATAGATGTCAAATATTCTAGTCTAATTTTCTAATCTAATCTAATCTATAAAATTAAAACTGTCCCCCCCAAAAAAGTACTAATGGATTTGTTTTGTGAAACTCAGTGGGTTGATTCTGTAGTTCAAATGGAAAAAATAAGTAAGAATATTTGAAATATTTAAACATTATTTATTAAAACAATGTAGAACTAGTATAAAAAAAGAAGGGTAGATCAATTGAAGAGGAGTCCAGAAATATATCCAAGTAATATGTAAATTATTATATGATAAAAGAGTCATTTCAAATAGTAAGGAAAGAATGCATTATTTAATAAAGAACTTCAGGATAGAATTAACTGGGGAAAAAATGGAGACGTATTCAGGACAGACTGTGGTTTAAATGGGAAATATCAAATAACAGAAATACTCAACTTTAGTTTTAATATTCAAACTCAGATATGTTTTTCCCTTAAAAAAAGGTACAGAAAAAATATGCATACTATGCTACAATTTGTATTACTATATATGGCATTTATATATATGGATACATTTATGTATCTACATGGTATCTCTGGAAGGGCATACAGAATCTGGTATTGGTACTTACCTCCTTGGAATGGAGCTAAAGGATGGGTGTCAGGGATAGGGGAGATACTTTTTACTGTTGGAAACAGGAAGACATATTAGTTAATTAAAAAATGAAATAAAAACACATGCCAGAAAACAAAACCGTGAAACCTATATATTATTAGTAGAACCTAAACAAGATTGATTTAGTAATGCAAATTCTGCCAGGAAAATATCCTATGGGGGCCTGAAATGCATCTGAAAATCAAAAAAATAAAAATAAAAAGAGAACTGACTGAGTTATTGCATCATATAAGAAACAAGCAGTGTTCTCAAAGGCAAATATATTCAGTTCCTTAGGAATTTTTACCCTTGAACGCTGGTGTAAGCTACTACTTTACCATAAAGTAGTTAAAAAAGACTATCCACCCCTTCAGTTTTTCTTCTAGACACAATGCATATCTTATGGCTGGAATCTGTAAATGCACTAAAATGCAACAAAAATGTAGAGCAACTTTGATTTAAAAAGTACCTCAAGGCAATACAAAAAAAGTGATTTTAATTCTTGATACATATTAAAACATTTCAGTCAGTTCTTCCTGACAGCATAACACGACAAATACACAAGACCTCAAACATGCTTTAAAATGACATTCAGCAAAGTACTGAAAATTTAATAAATAGCAATAATCACACACAAATACATTTTTCATACTCAATCATTAAGCTACTAAAACAGACAGCTAAAGAATAAATAAACAAGAACTGACAATAAAAAAATACGTGGGGTTTGTAATTCATTCTACTTAAAAAATGGGGGGGGTGCATCTGAATGATTTCTTAAGTTGCTTTTCAACATGTAGCATGATCCCCTCCCCCATGAATAAAATATATTGAAAATCACTCTTACAATAATGCAGTCTTTAAATACAACAAATAAATATGAAACCAGCAAAGCAATTTCACGTTGTAATAAAAATGCCCCCCCCCAAAGCTATGGAAATATATAGTCATTGTGATAGCAAATGACAGTATTTAAAGTGATAGTGCTTGTGCACTAAACGCATCTGTGACCTTGATATGATTTTAGTGCAAATCCCCAGGGTTCAATACAAGCATAACCCTGTACTAGGGAAGGATATTACCAGTTAGAACTTATCTTGTACAATTTTTGTACATATTTTATAAAGTTCAAGATTTAATGCATAGTAGAATATTTTCATCTGTTTAATTCTGTCCCTAAATAGAGATGAAAAAAGAAATGACGGGGTTTTACCATTTGGCTTGTACCATATTAGAGTATTAAAGTCAACATTAGAAAATCTATAAAAGTTTTGTTTTTGCCATTAATTTATCTAACTCTACCTAAATTTAGTATCACTGAATGTTAAACGTAAGAGAAAAATTTTTAGGCAAAGGTTTTTCCCTTTGACAAGCTCATATTATGATGAAACCCAATAATATTTAGACAAATGTTACACAGATAAAAACACAGGTGAATAGAAGGGGCTTTTTTTGTACATTAACAACCTTAACATCTGGTATATTAAGTTGCAAGATGTATTGGCAAAAAGCATAAAGTGTTCAATGAAAAGAAGGTATTATTTTGTACTAACAAATTCTAACATAGGAGAGAGAAACTGACAGTCGGATGAGTTTCAGCAGCCATACTTCTACTGTGAACTACAGTACCAGGATAAAAACAATTAGAAACAAATGGAAGAACATTATTGAACAATAATGAAAACATAATGCAATTTTAGCTGCTAAAATAGTAAACTCTAAAGTTCATAGAGTTACAAGTTGTTTAATTTAACCATGCAGGCTAACATATGATAGTAAGAAATCACCCTGCATCTTTTTTGTTTTTAAATTAAAACTAGTTTAATTGTAAAGTTACAAAACAACGAATGGATATTGCTCCAAATTGTACACAATCTCCCTCGCTGTGATTCGTACCTAACAAAGTAACAAAGCCTCATCATCACTCGTCTCATGTTTCAGTGTTGCTTCCAAGCAAGTGTCTGGAATCTGGGCAGTGTGAACAATACCACAGCGCTCACAGGGGCCGTCTCGATTACTTGGCCTTACTCCAGGGTTTGTTGCACTAAATGGCTGTCTAAACCCTTGGCCTTGATCTGAAGCAAGATCGAGAAGAGGTCTGGAGCAGTCGTTCACATCAAAGTCTGAAGCTCCATCAGAAACTGGGATCAGCATTTCGACATCGTCGTCGTCTTCTCTTCCATGTGCCCCATTGTCAAGCTGTCTCAAAGGACTCTGGCTCTGATTTCCGGAGCTGGATCGCCCTAGTGTAAAGCGCACCCAGCGCAGCCCCTGAGTCATGCGACTGAGTGCACTTGTGAGTTGTTGACGTGCAGGACTCACACCAGGGGGCTCCACACTGCTCACATCCCTTCCATTATCTGTGTGACCACCTCGGGTACTTTGAGTTGAGGAACTTCCACTTGCTCCCACTGTTGCTGCTACTGCTGTTGTGGGAGGGATTTTTGGGGGCAAAGGAGCTGCAACCCCACCAGATGCTCCTGCTGTATCTCTTCTCTCATTTTCTGTGTCTGTGTCATCAGACTCCACAGAAAACAAACTTCTGTGAGTATGATTTCTTTCAGGTTCTCTGCTGGTACTCTGACTAGGTACAACCTCATCTCCATCTGCTGATACCAAAGCCAATGACCCTGAATGACGTGATCTTGCAAAATTAAAAATACGATTCCAAATGTTGCTGGATCTGCCTGCCATTGGAAGCCTGATTGAAGTAAATCCAAGCTGGGATCGTACTGCTAACCTCAGGTTTTCCAAAACAGAAGCCTACAAAAAATAAGAAAAGATATTAAGATAGCTAACAAAGAGGTATTAAAATAAAAAACACCCTTCTAAATAAGAATGTGTTATGATGAAAGATGCTATTACTCATTGTTAGGGTCTATGAAGGATGAATTAATTCCTCTCATCTATATAGGTTCACCCTATTATAAAATCTAATCTATAACTTGTACCACTGTTCACTTGCTTTATTACTTTTTTATTTTTAAAGATTTTATGTATTTATATGACAGAGAGAGTACAAAGCGGGGGGTGGGGGTGGGGAGCAGCAGGCAGAGGGAGAGGGAGAAGTAGGCTCCCTGCTGAGTAGGGGACGAGGGTTCAATCCCAACACCCTGGGATTATGACCTAATCCAAAGGCAGATGCTTAAAGAACTGAGCCACTCAGGTGCCTCTGTTCATTTGCTTTGATTTTTCTTGACACTTCATTTTATATATGCAATTTTAAAGTGATATTTAACATCAATTACAACTATTTTATTTCTTTTATTAAAAAAATATTTTATTTAGATATTCATGAGAGACACAGAAAGAAGCAGAGACAGGAGAAGCAGACTCCATGCAAGGAGCCCGATATGGGACTCGATCCCAGGATTCCGGGATCACACCCTGAACCCAAGGCAGACGCTCAATCTCTGAGCCACCCAGGCATCCCAACAACTATTTTATTTCAAAACTGCACATTGTAATCCAATTCTAAAAGTGTACCAAAGCTGTAAAACAAAATTATCTGATACTTCTCCAGTTAGGAAGGTAAACTACACCCATTATCTGCTTTCCACCTTTTTTTTTTTCCTTAAAAACACAGAAAGACTTCATTTACAAGACTGAAACTTTCCAAAACATGTGAAAGTTATATTTCACAGTTGGTTCTCAAGGATTTGTTGAATGGACAGTAAAGATCGGTTTTTATAGACATAAATAAGATAATTAATTTGTAATATAGCACAGGAAACAGAAGCTAAAAAATTTAATTTGTTTATAGCACTACACAATGGTATATATAGTGCTATAAGCTTTTGGGACATTTGGATTTGAGACATTTGGGCTCTTCTCAATCTTTAAAGCTTAGCGTTAAGCATAAATTGTTATATCCTCATTCTTTGAAGAGTTACTTTTTCTTAGATGGATACATTTATGGATTATTTTTAAGGCATACAACATTTATTTAAAAGTCTTTAGCTCCATCTAGTGGTTACAAAAACAAGTATTCAAACTTGGAACAACTACATTTTCACTTATGGCATCTGGTACTTCACACAGTATTTCCAGGAAAGAATAGTGAGTTGATATACTCCCTTTTCAATGATGATGTAATTTCCTGCTGCCAATATGAACAGTTAGTTCTTGCCTTTACCCTCACAGAAGAAAAGAAGGAAAGGAAAGATGTGATGGTATGTGCTCTCCACCTCTCTTCAAGATGGGTATTAAATTTACTTATAAAACATAAACTCAGGGATATAATTCAGAGAATGAAAAGAAACTTCTTTCATAAGAGTATTTAAAAATCTAGTCTTAGTAAAGCATACTGTCAGTAAGAAATCTGAATATCAGCATATACAGATTTGTTATACAATTTTCACCAATTAAGAAGTACCTAATTATAAATTAAAAAAAAAAAAAACCTAAATGGTTCACATCCCTAAGGAACTTTTCCATACACATGGTCCTCACCACTCAGCATTCAAGTTCTAAGGCTTTTGTGTGAGCACTGTGTTACACCCAGCCATGAACAGAAGGTTCTGCAGATAAGCTTCCCTTTTATGCAGCTATCTCCCATTAAGATCAACAATGCTGACTTTCACATTACAGTCCATCATAGTGAAGTGAAGCTTTCTGCTTAAAGGTCTGTTTAATTAAAATTAATTTAACATTAGATTTCTATAAGGGGATCGCATGAATGTTTAAGGAATAATTTTATACATGTCTTCAGTTTATGAAGCATAAGAAGGCATTCTTCAGAAAGCATTTCTATTTTTTAATGGGATGGTAATTTGGAATATTATTTTTCTTTTTAAAAACTATCATGAAAATATGAGAATTTGTTACCAAGAATTTTAAACTTGGAAGTTTAATCTTATAAACTGAATAAAATCTAGCTTACTATTCATACACCTATTTTATTTTAAAACTTTGTTGAAGCAGAATTCCCTCCTAAGGGTAAATTATAAACCTCAAGAATGGTATAGTATGTAGTAAAGAAACCTTATCCAAGGTGAGGTCTGACTTTTGCCCTCTATTTCTGGGATGTGATCTCTAAGTCCTTACAATGTCATCTCTGACAGGGATGTCCTTGCCTGGGGCCTGGGGCCTGGGGCCAGCCAGATACAGATTATGCTGTGTCTGAGGTGGAGGCTCCAAGCCACACCAGCAATGTGATGCAGGGCAGGTGCTTTGGATCAGCAGTATCAGTCAAACTCTGTAGGGGCTAGAGACTGATCAACCACATTTGCAATTAATCCACCTATGTGATGGAGCTTCAGTAAAAACTCTGGATGCTGAGTCTTGGGTGGCTTCCCTAGTTGGCACTATTCTGCACACTGTCATACACCTGACAGAGAGTAACACTACCTTGACTTATGGGGAGAGGAGAACTAGAAGGTCTGTGTTTGGTACCCTATTCTATATGTCTTTTCCTTTGGCTGATTTAATCTAGGTTCTTCCTTGTAATAAATTATAACCATGAGTATAACAGTTTTCAGTGGGTTGTATCTAGTAAATTGTCAAAACTGAGAGTCATTTTGGGAAGCCCTGAACTTGTAATTTCTATATAGATGAGAGCTGTCTTGTGTAGACTGTGCTTAACTCTAACTCCATAATTGGCTAAACTCTTGAAGGCAGCCACAAAGTATAGGGGTGGTGGGTGGCAGATGGTAGAGTGGGTGGATGGGTGGAATTAACCACTGTTTGAGTTCCTACCTAAAAGAAACCTTCCACATATCACGGTCAATAGAATATAGCTTTTTCCTATTTTGTACACAAAATTCCAACCAGTGGAACTTCTGAATGATTTACTTAGCAAATTACATCCGAAGAAATGTTTTTAAAACCACAAATTCTAGGGGCACCAGGGTGGCTCAGTGGTTGAGTGTCGCTTTTGGCTCAGCTCATGATCCTGGGGTCCTGGGATCAAGTACTGCAGCAGGTGCCTTGTACAGAGAGGGGGCCTACTTCTCCCTCTGCCTATGTCTCTGCCTCTCTCCATGTGTCTCTCATGAATAAATAAATTATTTTTAAAAACCCCACAAATTCTCACCAGATATTTCCTAAAAGACTCAAATAAAGGTGATAGACTGTAATAAGAAATCTTATTTACCAGAAAGGAAGTGGTCTTCCATTTTGTACAGAATTAAATCACTGGGAAAACAGTGTTTATCTATTTTTACAAATATTTCTGGATGAATTTACATCTTGAAATATATGCATCTTTATGCTTTTATTTTTTTTAATATTTATTTATTTGAGAGAGAGAGAGAGAGAGCAAGTGTATGTGGGGGTTGGGGGGGAGGGTGGAGAGGGACAGAGAATCTCCAGCAGACTCCCCACTGAGAGGAGCTGGATGTGGGGCTTGATCCCATGACCTGAGATCATGACCTGAGCTGAAATTAAGAGTTGGACACTCAACCAACTAAGCCACTCAGGTGCCCCATCCCTATGCCTTTATGAACCCTGTTATAATTTATGCATTAAAAAATAAATTTTAAATTAATTAATTAATTTTAAGTAGGCTCCATGCCCAGCATGGAGCACAGTGTGGGGCTTAAACTCATGACCCTGAGATCAAGAGTCTGACACTTAACTGACTGGGCCACCTAGTCATTCCTGAAAAGGACTTTTTTTTTAAAAAGTACTAATAGAAATTTAAAGAATTCAGAAACATTAATAAAGAATGAGTTACTATTTAAAGAAAATGGTATGAATTCTTAAACACTTTAATATAAAATCTAGCAGTGAAGAAGTTTACCCTCAAGTTGGGTGGAAATGTCAACTTCATTGCAATTACTTTTACTTATTAACTAGTTAATCTAGCATGTTACTAATACATTACTAGCATACTAATTTTAACATTCATTCTTAATCTTTAGATGTTTAGTGCAAATAGAAAATAACTTACTAAACTTTACTTCTGAATTTTAGTGCACCAAATCCTAACAGTAAAATGCTTAAGAATCACATAATCAAATCAGAAGAATGAAAGATTTTGTATTTTGTAGCATATGTTGAAATACAATGACATGATTATAATTTCAAAATTTCCTACATATTTAATCCTTGACTTGATTGCAAAAATTGACTAAAGTCCTTTATCATACATATAAATACAACATTCATTTTATGAAACAGAAATCATAAACTGCAACATACCTGATTAGGTGAACAAACAGGAAAATCTTCAACTGGTGGAATTAAACCCTGAGCAATCAATTGTCCATAAGAGGGAGGAGCTTCTCTTCTTAGCAATTCTGCTTCTACTCTTGACAACTGTGTTTCAAATGACCTTTGAGGGAAAACAGGGGGATAAAAATGGTTAAAAAAAAAAAAGTAAGTCAAAATAATAATTCTTTAATCACCAATGGAAACAATCTGAACCTCTACATACTTGACCATTTTTAAAGCTTAGTCAACCAACATTTATTGAAAATCTATACCATTTCTACACTGAGAATACAAAGATGCAGTAGACAGTCTATCCTCATGGGGCTTTATACTAGGACACTGGATCACTAAGTTTTAATGAATTAGAAATCCTCATAAAAGATAAAGGTATTAGATCTTTAAACCCCTAAGAACATAAGGGGTTGGGATTTTAGGTGAAAGTAATCATCAAGGTTCAATACATTTAGTTTTATAGATAAGTAAAAGAGTGAAATGAGTCGCCAATACACTTTCTGACATAGCTTGTTCTTCAACTCAAGACCTTGGATTCTTAACTGAGCTCTTATGCTGCAAAGAAAAGATGCAGCATGATTACTTTGATACTGTGCATTTGTATGCATCTATTAGCTTAGCCATATGGGACATGAAATCTTTAGCTAAATCCGTTATTTGTAACTCTCCTGGAACATAGGGTCACTGTCTCCACAACAGCCTCCTACGTAAGAGACCTCTCGTCCATCATCAGTGTCTCCCAGGTCCAGTCTATCCTGCACCACATGGAAGAAAACCCTCCCTGAAGGTCACCCTTTAATACTTAACCATTTCTTACTTGAGAACTCTGACACATGGCTCTCATGGTCCTCCACAATATGACACTAGCCTTATCTTCCAAGTTTTACCTTTTAGCCCTTCATATGTATCTTAGCCTCCAGACAAGCTGAATTATGTGCTACTTTTCCAAGCAATGCTGGGCATCCCTACTTCTACGCATTTTCCCAGGCTAATTTTTTCAACTATAATATCTTTCCCCTATCTACATTCTTACAAATTTCAAATGATACTTCTTCAATAAAAGCCTTTCCATATCCCCTCATCAGATTAGGTATCTTTTGACTTTTATGCCACTTTGTTTTATAGCTCTTACAGCATTTATATTTTTGTCATCTTATTGCACCCACCAATGCCTTCCTCCTAACTGTAAAGTACCTATGAGATTATGCCTTATTCATTTTTCTACTCATCTGTTTAATGCTTTGAACACTGTAGGTTCTCAAATATTTGCAGTTGTTGAATTCATATTTATAAGAACACAGATTAAAACATTACAACTGAGAAGAACTGCAGCTTGCAAAGTTCCTATAAAACAGATTAATCTGAAAACAGGAACTGGTAAATACAGATTGGTTTTTCTCACCTCATAACTCTAAGTATTTATTAGTTTATAAAATATGTTTAGCCTCTTGGGTCTTAGTATTTTCACACTAATTTCATAAATCATGAAAGATATTCATCTATTTCAAAAAACAGTATAAAACAAAGTCTATTGCTGATCATGCTAAAAATTCTGTTGCAAATACTGGGACCATGTTTATTGTGAAGTCACAACCACTATAGTTTTGTCTTGATACTGACCTTCGTTCAAACATTCTCAGAGAATAGAGCTTACAGGTACATCCCAACGCAATGACCAGTAACAGTCCACAGATAAGGCTCCCTATGACGGCTGCAGTTATGACTCTGGTAGGCACAATAACCGGGCAATTCTCCTCATCGCTGCCATCACCGCAGTCATCCTGAGAATCACACACCCAGCTTTCAAACACACAACGATTGTTTTTACAATGAAAATTTCCTGGCTGGCAAAAAAAGCAGTTTTTTTCATCTGAGCCATTTGGGCAATGATTCTGGTAGTTGCAGCGATCAGAACGAGGGTAACAGACACCGTTTCGGGAACAGGGGAATTCTTCTTTTTGGCACATGGTGCAATTTATCTCATCCCTTCCATTTGGGCAATGCCAATACCCATCACAGCGCTGCTGTTCTGTGTAACACCCCCAGTTACCCCCACAGGGTATTTCCCAAGGCAAACAAAAGCCATCTACTTGGTAAGTAGCATTAAATCCCCTTGCAGCATTCACTTTGTCGGCACAAAAATGTACCCTGATCTGGCCAGAAGAAGAAACAACTGTAAGGGGTGCATGAGAATCAAAAGCGGTTAAGACACGCAAAAGCTTGTGTGGATTTTCCTCTAAACCGTCGTATATTTTGACATAATCACCATAACCAGTACCATCAAGTTTAAAGTCAGTAAAGCGCAGAATGACTTTACGATGATCACCAGTGTCTATTAACCAGGTGCAGTTGCTTCCAGGAGGATAGAAGTCTGGATAATTGGGGGAACTGAAAGTACCATAGAAATATTTTAGCCACTGCCCGCAGGTTGGCATGTCACAGTCGATCTCGTCTCCGAGGTCCAGGCAGTCAATGTTGCCATCGCATTTTAAAGATTCAGGGAGGCAAGTGTAGACCTTGGTAAATCGAGACAAACACTGGAACTGGTTGTAGGCACAAGGTTGGAAGGAAGAGGATGCTGGGGTATCAGCTTCCCTGGCGCAGACCTCTTCGTCAGACCCATCCCCACACTCGTCCATGCTATTGCATTTCCAGGCTTCGGGTATACACTTGCCATTGCCGCAACGGAACTGATCACAAGCACAGTTGGCTTCTTCAGATTTCCCTGGGAGGGCATGGGGAGGATGGAGATGGAGAGGAAAGGAGAGGGAAAAACATACTCCTTAAAAGATACAGAACAGCAAGTGGTATTTTTATAATAAATATTAACTATTGAGCCCAAGTGATAGGAGTTTTAAAAAAATCTAAGAAACAGATTAGATTCTAAAGGCAAATTGATATTCTAAAGGCAACAATTTATTAAACACCTATTGTTTATTCCATGAAGACCTCTGTATTTTGACTTTAAGTGAAGAGAGCACAAACCAGAGGCTGCTGGAGGGGAGGTAGGTGGGGGATGGGCTAGATGGGGGATGGGTATTGAGGAAGGCATTTGCTATGATGAGGGTGTTGTATGTAAGTGATGAATCACTAAATTCTACTCCTGAAGCTAGTAGTATACTGTGTATTAGCTAATGGGAATTTATTTATTTATAAAAAGATTTTATTTATTTATTCATGAGAGACAGAGAAAGAGGCAGAGACACAGGCAGAGGTAGAAGCAGGCTCCCCACAGGGACCCCCATGCAGGACACGATCTGGGATCCCAGGACCATGCCCTGAGCCTAAGTCAGACACCCATTCACTGAGCCACCCAGGTGTCCCAACTAATGGGAATTTAAATAAAAACTTGGGGGAAAAGGGGAGGAGAACACTTCTGCTTTTGTAGAGAGCTATTTTACTGCAGAACATTTAATAATCTAAGATATACAAACCAATAGATTATACTGATTAAAAATTTAAAATTTTTATTGTATATACATCATTAGAGTGACATTGAAATAAAAAATTCACCCACAATAATCACCTTTTCAAATTATTTTTTCATATTTTTCATATCTTTTCTAGTTCTTGTTTATGTATATACAATATTTCGCTACTTGTGTCATACAGCATATGCTATTTTGTAATCCTATTATTCAGATCCAAATTTCCGCTAAAATTATAAGATTAACTTTATATACAGTTGATGTAATGAAATGTTGTGTAATAACACTCACATTTTATAATTCTACTGTTTCACACAAATGCAAAACACTGCATGTAACTGAGCTAAAGGTATAAATTTATTCATCAAAATAGTAGGGGAAAAAAAACTTGAAATGCCTATAGAATTCCAATTATTGTAGTGTACCATCCTAAATATACACCAAAAATGAAGCAGGGGAAGAAAATCAAATATTAGATCCTATGGTCCTCAAAAACTAACAATGTTTAGGACAATACTTACTTCTCCATTAACAATTTATTTATTGGTAAATAGGGGACAAAAAATGTGCTTCAGTAGCTAAGTATTACAAAGACTTTTTTTTTTAATAGATAGTTTTATTTATTTATTTAAAAGATTTTATTTATTCATTCATGAGAGACACAGAGAGAAGGCAGAGACACAGGCAGAGGGAGAAGCAGGCTCCTCCCAGGGAGCCTGATGTGGGGACTCAATCCCAGAACTATGGGATCACACCCTGAGCCGAAGGCAGATGCTCAACCGCTGAGCCAATCAGGCGTCCCTTACAAAGACTATTTTTAAGAGAGAAGAAAAAGCATATTTTCTGAAAGACAAGTACAAATTTTAGAAGACGTAAAATGATTTTTGGCAAAACGTATATATGATTCTAATAATCTGACTTATTCACATATCCATGATCTGGTCACACTTTTTGAAAGAAAAGATTCAGAATAATAAAAGAAGACTTCTGATACTAGAAACCATGAAGATGAAATGGAATATGTCTTTTCTGTGAAGCTGTAAAGACAATGGTAATTCAGACACAAAAATACATTCTGAACTAATTTTCAGGGTATCAGAAAACCCTTGAGGGAAAAAAAATTTACTTTTAAAATAAAGGTATTTAAATATTTAAAAAGAAAGCTGACCTTAGTTTATAAAAATAATCATTTTATTAGAATATACAAAACACCTTTTTGAGATTGTGCTCTAGGGCACCTGAACCTTCTTCAATCTCAATTGCCAATTAAATGGATACTGTTTTAGAAGACTAGCCAAAGTGACTTGGTACTTAATACAACACAATTCTGTTACCTTTCTCCTTTTTTTAAAAACATACCTGAAAAATACGCCAGTCTGAAACCCTTTCTAGAGATACTGTCATCAGAATGGAACCTGATCCAGACATGATCTTGTGAAGAAATATATGGTGGCGGAACTGTTGAACCACAAGCTCTGTAACTTTCAATATTTTTGTATGTTTCTATCGTCAACCAATCCAAACTGCATCTTCTGGACCCCTGAATATCAAAATCCTGAAAACTAGAAATAAAAAGTCAGAAAACACTATTAATAAGGGTAAATTTAAAAAAAAAACTGCATAATAATACAATATAACTGAGGACTTTATTATAAGCCTCCATATTTGTTGATTCTCCTGTGTTTTCCAGGAGATACAATCATGTCATCAGCAAACAACACTGTTTCTATGTCCCTGATGTTTATATCTCTTTCCTAGACTCTCATATAATACTTCTTCATAAGTAATACCAGATTTTAAAATAATTCTAATAAATCCCCAGTCAATATCTGGCACCTTGTATCCTTTTCTTCTGTTTGTGTTTAGGAAAAATCACTTCTAATTCAGAATATCCTAACTGTCCTGTATTTGAACCAGAGACACCACTCCATAATCTGATAAACTAAAGTACACACAGAGAAAGTCAGCCTTCTCTTAGATTAGACTGGTTCATCTGCTTGCTTAGTGAAAGGTTTACAGCTTACATTTTCAGAAGAGCAAACAGCACAACTCTGAGCAAAGTAAAAATGAACACTCTTTATCAGTGAAAAATCCCTAGGTTTGGGAATACTTTTTTTTTTACATAAGTTACGTTATGGTCAAACAACATTACCTTGTAGTTCACAAAATATGGGTCTCATACACAGCAAAAGAAGTCAAAAGCACATATAAAATTAGCTACTGCTATGAAAAAAGAGAAACTAAAATATTATTTTCCAGTATCATGTCTCTACCAAGAAGGGAATATCTGACTTTTTATCTCCTTGCCTCTGCCTTAAACTGTGATAATGAAATTAATTATCCAAGAATTTTTTTTTATCCAAGAATTTTTACATCAGGTTATTTCCCCTGTAAATATTCTGAGTTAACTACAACAAAGAATGACAAATAATTTGATTGTTTCCAGTTCCCCACTATTATGAACAATGCTTTAAGGAATCCTCATACATGTATCTCTACATGTGCAAATACTTCTCTAGAACAAAAATTTTTCTAGAAGTAGAATTGCTAGGTCAGAAGACAAAATTCCACTTGAAATATGACAGACACTGACAGAAATATTTATACCAACTCATTTTTTAAAATAAATTTATTTTTTATTGGTGTTCAATTTACCAACATACAGAATAACACCCGGTGCTCATCCCGTCAAGTGCCCCCCTCAGTGCCCGTCACCCATTCACCCCCCCTCCCCTTCCACCACCCCTAGTTTGTTTCCCAGAACCAACTAATTTTCAATGAGTTTTATAAAAGTATCTTATACTCCGTGACCCTGGCAAATTGGGATAGTCAGTTTTTTAAAAAACTGTTGCATTTTGCATTTCCTTATTTACTGAAATTGAAACACCTTTTCCTATGTTTATTATTTCTTTTCCTATGAATTGCTTTGTTATATCATCCTTCATCCAACAGAAATTTTTCTTACTTAAAAATCCTCTATGTAGTATAAACATTTATCTATTTGGCGGCATGTCCATATGTAAGATATATGTATAGATAGCCACATCCACATTCTCTTCAGTAGCTGGTGATGTCGGTCCTCTCAACCTTAGCCATTAGTTAGTTGGTGTGAACTGACATCTCTCAATGTGGTTTTATGTGCATTTCCCTGAAGACTAATGATGCTGAATATCTTTTCATGTGCTTACTGGCCATCCTCACGTCTTCTGTGAAATGTCTGCTCAAGTCTTTTTGCCCATTTAAAAAAAATTGGGTTGTTTTTTTGAGTTATAAAAATTAATTTTATATTCTAGACGCAAATCTTCTGTTAGATATATATGCTAATATTTTCTTCTAGTTTATATGGACTGCCTTTTCATTTTCTTCATGGTATGTTCTAATGAGCAGAGGTTTTTAATTTTAGTTTTGATGAAGCCTAATTTATTTTTCCCTTTATGTTTAGTGCATTTAGTGTCCTCTCTAAAATACCTTTGCCTACACCAAGATACTAAACAATGTCTTCTTCCAGAATTTTGGAGTTTTAGATTTTACGTTCGTATCTAGGATTTATCTTGAATTAGTTTTTGTGTGTTCTCAGGGACAGGTCAAGATTCTTACACTTACTTTGTTTTATCATGCATGGAACATTTAGTCTGGTCATCCTGCACTTGTGGAGGTTTTGTTTAGCTTTGTCCTGAGTCTTAGGTGAATTCCTAATTTTAGGACATTGTCTTTACTTATAATGTATGACATTTCTGTGACTTCAATAAAATCCCAAGGTATTTACCAAATTCCTCAAACTCAGCAGGTTTCAACTCCAAACTCTGCCTCAGCTTCGGTGCACAGCCACTGAAATCTGGGGCAGCTTTTTCTACTAAGTTCCTTGGTGTCTCTTAGGCATGCACAGTTCAGAAAAGAGCAAAGAATTTGAGAATAATTTATATGCATATGTAAGGGCTTCCTACACTGGGGCTCTCTCCATTCTAGGATTTGTCTTTTTAATTTCCAGCTACTCTGACAGCCTCAGGTCCACCCTGCAATATACCACCTCAAGCCCATAAGACTGCGGCGGCCTATTTGAGTTCTAGCTACTGCATTCTGCATCGGGAGCTAACAGGAAGCAAACATATCTCATCAATGTGGAATCCTTCTTTTTCTTTTTTAATATTTTATTTATTTATTCATGAGAGATACAGAGAAAGAGAGAGAGAGAGGCAGAGACACAGGCAGAGGGAGAAGCAGATTCCATGCAGGGAGCCCGACATGGGACTCGATCCCAAATCTCCAGGATCAGACCCTGGGCTGAAGGCAGCGCTAAACTGCTGAGCCACCCGGGTGCCTGGATTCCTTCTTTCAAGAGTTTAATTTCCTCCAGTTTCTGCCAGCTTCTGATTAGTCTCCAGTACCTTTGAGTAGTCATTTAAAAACTTATATCCAAATTGGTAATTGTTTATGAGAGGGCTAGTCAGATTCAAGCTAAGGAATCCCTTTAACGCACTTTTATCCACTAAAATATTTAAGATTGAGGGAAGCAGGATCCTTGCCCAGAACAAAAGAAATAATCAATATCTATTCATGTATACAGTCTTGGATTTGGTTTGCTAATATTTCATTTAGGGTTGTTAAAATACATTTCAAAGTAAAATTAGTTTTCAGGTTTCCTTTTTTTATGCTTTATAGTAGTTTATGTAACAAAGACACTGTTCACATACCAATGCCCTGTGCCTGTTTAGAATACAGATCTAGAGTAGAAATTTTTAATTTCTTCATGTTTTTCATTTTAATCAGCTTTCCCTAAACTTTTTTTGAGTCACTTTTTGATAATTTAAATTTTAATAGAAAATCATTTTATTTTGATAGTAAAATTTGTTATAAAGCTGCAAAAGTACTTTCTTACATTAAAAATTTTTTTTCGTATCTGTGATCTTTATATATATGCTTGGATTTTCTATGGAGATAAGCACAGTATTGGCAAATGAGGAGGGTTTTATCTTTTCCTTCCCATTTTTCGTATCACTAATTTCTATTTATTGTCTTGTTTCATTGATTCAGAGTTCTACTATAAGCAGTGAAAGCATGCATCTACATCCTGGTCCTTGGTACTAAAATTTTTTAACCGATACCTTTTGTAAAACTACTTGGGTTTAGAACCTTCTTCTGATGTTGATTCAATTTCTTTAGTGAAGAATCAATTCTTGAATCAATTTTGATACTAAGCATTTTCTAGAAAATGATCCAATTCATCTAATTGTGTAACAGTGTTACCATAAACTAATCATAATATTCCTTTATGACTTTAAAAATCTTTATTATTATATTTTTAATTCTAGACATTTTTGTTCATTCTTAGTAGTACCTTTTTTTTCTTCAGTCTTGTCTTGAGATTTGTCTATTTTCCCAAGGTTTTCAGAAGGCCATTTTTTTTTGTTTTATTGAATCTTATTATTTATTCTTTCTATTTAATTATTTCCTGGCCTTATGTTACTACATTTTCTACTTAAGATTTACCCTGTAGTTTTCTTTCAAAACTCTTGAGTAAATGCTGAGCTCATTTATTTCCCATCCTGCTTATTTTTAAGCTAATGCATTTAAGCCATAATTTTTTCGCTAAGTACTCTATCAATGTGTTCTAACAGTTTTGTAATATTTTCAATATGGTTATTACCAAAATATTTTATGAATTCCACTGTGAATTCCAGCATTAATGCAGGAGTTATTTAGGAATATGCTTTCAAACAGGGATTTTGTTGTTATTTCCCCATTTTTTATTGTGGTTCTAATTTAACTGCATTGTGGTCACAGAATACAATCTGAATGATGTAAAATCTTAGAAATGGAACTCAGAATTCCTTTGTGGTTTAATACATAATCAATTTTTTGTAAATGTGCCATATGTTTTTGAAAACAATTTATATTCTCTATTCATTGAAATAAATATAAACATACATATATATAACGCATGTTCCAACTTGTTAATTTTTATCAAATCTATCTTTACTATTTTTCTGTTTAATCTATTGAATTCTGATTAAAGGTATGTTTATAAACTTCCACTAAATGGATCAGTCAATAATTCTCCATATTTTGCTGCTTTACGTGTATTTTAGGCTGTGTTACAAGGTAAGCAAAGTTTACCATGAATCTATCTTCTTAGTGGATTATTTCATTTGTTACTAATATTTTGTGTCTTAAACTCAATCCCATTAATGTTAATCTTCCTAATCTTCCTACACTAGCCTTCTCTTTATCAGTATTTCCAAAGCTTATCTTTTTCTATCACTCTTTTCTAAACTATGCTTCTTTTGTTTTAGGTATGTTCTTAGGAGCCCTTTATAGGAGGATCATACCAGTCAATAAACCAATAAACCTGATCAGTCTGTCTTTTAAAGGTTAAACGAATTTTTTATTGAGCAGCCTTTCTATTGTAGGTGATTTTTCATTTTCCTCCTTCCTTGTGTTCTTTTGTATTCATAGGTTTCTTTCTTTTTATTTTTTACAGTTTCTTTTACTTTACCACATACTCAAGATTGCTATTTTTTCAGTAGTTATCTTTAGATGTTGTAGTTCAAACACTAAAACATACTTTTGTTCTAATAAAGTCCAAGTAAGAGTATTTGGTGTTTCTATTCTCCTCTCAAATTCCCAGATTTGGTGGAAACATTTACAATCTTATTTTCACTAATCTCTAACTGAAATTTGGCACTTCACTTACGAATATAAACAAACCATGATAGTATTTACACTACCTGTCACCAGCAGAAATCACATATAATTACACATTTCAGTTGTAATAGATATCTAGAATAACTATTTACACTCAAAATCACATTGAGATTACAGTTGTTAGAACCATCACCTACTAATATGTTAATAAGCATATATTACTATAATACAAACTTGTAAAGATATCTGATAGCTATACTTCAATATAATTGGTTCCCTTTGTAATAATATGTATTATGATTTGTGAGTTTAAAAACATTTTAGGAAGGGATCTATAGGTTTCACTAACTACCAAAGTGTTCACAGCATAAAAAAGGCTAAGGAAAAAAAAAACTCGGTCTACTTGTGATGAGCACTGGGTGAGGTAGGTACAGAACTGCTGAATCACTATACTGTACACCTGAAACTAATAGAACACTGTGTGTTAGGTATACTGGAATTAAAATAAATGAAAACTAATAAAGTTTATCATGTCTGGAGTAAATCTGTGTTTGGATTTTGTTGGCTGTTTTTGTTACTATTAATATTTTCCATACATTCTGGAAATAAGGCTCATTCTGTAGAAGCTTTTCTGGTTCTCCCTCTCTCCTTCTAATTCACTCTCTTTCTGTATTCCCCTGTCTGTGTTTCATAGCCACTTTCACCTAAGTCTCCATTCCAGAATGGTCTTTACGTGGTGGTTCAGATGATTACAGATCCCTTCATGGAATCAGTAGGTAACCTGGTTATATTCCTATTTGTAAGGGTATGTCCTCCCACCTCTAAGCTCTCAGCCCCATACAAGTTCAGGTAGTGATCAGTGGTTAATGCAAATATTTTAGTCTTTTTATTTTTTAATTTTTTTTAAATTTTAAAATTTTTATTTCAATTCAGTTAATATATAGTGTATTATTAGTTTCAGAGGTAGAATTGAGTGATTCATCAGTCTTATATAATATCCAGTACTCATTACATCATGTACCCTCCTTAATGTCTATCACCCAGTTACCCCATCCTCCCACCTCCCCTAAGTCTACTTTCTTGAGCAAAACACCCTGACTCCAGTCCTTGGCTTTAAGCAGGGAATTGAAATCCAATCCTCTATATCCTCTTGATAAGATGGCTTTTGTTGATTTTGATAAGTTTCAAGGGAGGAGAGTGAGGTAAAAATGCTCTCATGTTACCATCTTTAACCAGTTTCATAAAGGAGAGCTCTAAGTATTGCTCATATATTGTTTATATAATTTTAGTTTCCTTCTTTGATCTGTATTTTAATTTGACTTTAAACTCAAGAATGAAGGTTTTTAACATCTGTCTATTCTAGATAATCATATACTTTTTCTTTGACTTGTTAATATGGTAAATTTAAAATTTTCTAATAGTGACTCGCTTTTATGTCTAAATAAGCTGCATTTGATTATGGTATAATTTTTTTTGAACAATTTAAGATTATACCAATATTCACAAGTGAAACTTTGTGTGTGTGTGTGATCTTTTTAAAGTTTGGTATTAAATCACCTTCTGATCTCATTAGGCTGTGTAAATCCAAATTCATTAACTTCTTCTGGAACTTAGGAAGTTTTCCTTTAGATGTATGACTTAAATCTAATTTTGTTCTCTATTTCAGTATTTTGCTTGGTTTTAGTGTTTCTCTGCAAAATCTCAAGGGTCCAATACATGTTCAGAATCAAATGGCAATATTCCATGTAGCCTCCTCCATGCTGGCAAGAATTGCCAAGTTTTATGGAACTGAGCTGGTAGGTGGCAAATTTGGGGGTGAGTTTTTAGGTTAAGAGATAAAAATCTCCAAAAACTCTAGCTTTATGTTGAAAGAAATCCAGTGTGTGGTATCCCTATGGTAAAAATGCTATTTTGTAAACATGTTTATACTTAGTCATATTCTATAAGTAACAGAAAATAAGCATACTGTCCCAGTTCCAACACTGGCACTGTTGCAGAAGGATAATCTTAATGGCACATGCTACCAGTCCATCAGGCAAGAGAATAACACTTCTCACAGACAACAGTTTCTACACAAGCTCAGCTCCAGAGTTCCAGAAGATGTGGCTTGGGGCAGAAAGGACCAGAGAAAAACAAACCAGTTGGTCCCTGTTTTATGGCTTCCACAGAAGAAGGGGGATAGAACACAGTTGTGTTTCTCAAGAGACACTGGCTGTCTCATTAGTTATGGGATATAAATAAGGAAGATGGGTGAAATAGATAAAGGGGTTAAGAGGTACAAACTTCCAGTTGTAATATAGTAAGTCACAGAGATGAAAAGTACAGCATAGGGAATATAGTCAATATATTACAGTAACAATGTGTGGTGACAGATGGTGACATTATGGTGAGTACTGAATAATGTAGAGAACTGCTGATCAGTATGTCATACAGCTGAACTAATATAACATTATACATTAATCGTATTTCAAAAACCCCCACAGAAATAGGCTAAACTTAAAATCTTATTTTTAAAAAATGTAAGAATGGATTTGAGCCTATGACCTGCCAGGTCTCTTCTAAATCTGAAGTCCCATACTTCTTACTTATAAAAATGTTACCAATGAAAGAATGTTGAAGATGCCTTTGTGCTGTTGCAGACATTGCCTCTGTGATAGGCATGACTTTCTAATTTGTGTTTCAGTTCCAACCATAGTTCTTTGTTGAGGCATAGTATTTTTTTTTTCCTCCCTTTCTGGAAAATTTTTTTTTCTAATAGCCTTGATATAATTTCCTTAGGCAAGCATTATCTAGTTCTACTGAATATTTTCTCTTTAGTATCTTATTCCCATAATGCTTTTCTAGAATTTTAAATGTTTTTAAAATGAATCTTAATCTTATTTATATTTATTAGAATCTTAAACTTTTGTTTATTTCTCCTAGGAGTATCTTTCATTTTGTACCCTAGCAAAAGTTCTTTTGTTTCAAAGTTATAAAAAAAGAGATTTTTCTAGACACATTATCAGCTTGTTTCAAGTTTTATATACATACATATACGTAGATAAACACTATAATCATGTTTTAGCTTGTTAAGATAGAGGACTCTACCAATGAGACTAAGGTTATGGGCTAGATCTCCAAATGGATTAGTGAGTTTTGTTTATTTGTCCCATAAAGATTACACTCTTGATCCTAACAGGCTATTGTGCAAATGTGCACCTTTTGTTAAAAGGTCATCTAAAAGAATATGGATGGTTCAGTGGAAATCCATTACCACCATCAGAAAATATTCAAAACACATATCCTTATAGTAGGGGAAGAATGGCTATTATTCCTACCCTTAATATGGTACTGGTAGCTATAGTTTATTACATTTTTAGAAAATTGTCTTTTTATATAACTGCATGCTGAGTGATAATACTGGGAAACTGATTTTGTATTTTGTAATAAAATATTACATAGTAATTCAGAAAGGTATCAGAATTACCTTATAGTAATGATTTCCCCTGGATTTGCCCGTATGAACCAGCTGCAGTTGATTTTGGCAGGATATTCAGAAGGCCAGCCTGGGCTTGTGATTATACCACTTGGTGCTCGAATTTGTTCTGGAGTCTCTCCACAAGCTGGAAGAAGCCAAAGCAATCTTAGCTAATTATTATACTTTAAAACAAAGCAGTAAGTAAATCAGTGTTGATTAAAAAACAAACAAACAAAAACAAACCCACACTGCAGACATCAAATCATATACAATAAAATACAGTATCATCAACCTTAAAGATCTTTTATTATTCCAGTAAGATATTTTATTTTCTTCCCTTTTGGTCAAATTATCTCATTCTAATTAAGTATACATTTTGGAGAGGCATGGAAGTTTTCAAACTGGACCCCTTTCAATAACAGTTTAAAGAGTCAGGATTGGGAACCCTGGGTGGCGCAGCGGTTTGGCGCCTGCCTTTGGCCCAGGGCGCAATCCTGGAGACCCGGGATCGAGTCCCACGTCGGGCTCCCGGTGCATGGAGCCTGCTTCTCCCTCTGCCTATGTCTCTGCCTCTCTCTCTCCCTGTGTGATTATCATAAATAAATAAAAATTAAAAAAAAATAAAAATAAAGAGTCAGGATTAATTTACTAGGTTTAGCCATGGCTATTGATCAACTGATCCATCTACCTTTCTTTGAAACTCACCTTTTAAATTCATTTTCTTTATTTATTATAAACTATAAAGTTCCATGTTTACTAAACTACTGTGTTTAGATCCTTAAGAGTACCATTTTGGTTTTTGGATACTTTAAAAGACTATTATATAAATAGTCTTCTTAACAAAATAATTCAGGGAAGTATATACAAACACAATAGTAAGATGCTGGATTGTTAAGAAGTTAGTGGATGATTGGATAAAGACAGCAAAACACTATACTTCAAAATTACTGCAAAGTAGCTCTTTAACTTATTTTGTTCCTATTTTCAAATTTTATTACAGGGTGATAAATGATTCCTAAATTATTTTAAAAATAAAGGCTTGAAAAGGTGATTAAAATACCATTATGTTTAGATATCTGAATTTTATGAAGAAATACAGAACATGCTTAAACTACTACCAACACTTTTCTGGTTTATTCTCCTTGCACTACCTTGAACTCTCACACTGATACATACAGTGCACATCGGACCTATTCAGAAGTTAGCAGATAATGTGACAATTTATTCTCCCTCAATTTAAAAAATAGTCATTGGGCTACAAAAAAAAAATACATGATGAATGTTTAAGCTTTCAGTAAAATTTAAAAACTTAGAACCTCTTACTTGATGTAATTTCAACATATTAGATTATTTGATTTTTAAAATAGTAGCAGATTAGATGCAGCAAATTAGAAGTGAGGAGAGTAGCTACTATGGGTATAGAGACGGTTATTAGAAGTAATGGGGGCAATTTTCAGAATAAAAAAAATTACGTGCCTAACTAAAAAAGCACAACATCTCAGAACTGTATAATACTGCCTATTTTCCAAAATGTAAGAGAAGATTTTCTTTTCATAATAATTAGCAGTCTTACCTAGCTAAAAGAGTTATTGAGAGAATACATGAATCCATGCAAGCAAAGTGCCTAGTGTAATATGTGGTCTGAACTTTGATGCTTTTTGAGTTCTGCTGTTTAAAAATTAGTTCACCCAATTTGTAGATAGACAAGTATTCCTATTACGATTATAATTTGTAAAAATGGCCTTTATAACAGAGGTTACAGTCTATTCAATAAGGTTAGAATAAGAAGTATATTATGCAATTTTAAAAAAATTTTTATCTATAATGATCAAAATAAAGCAAGCTACATTGCTCAAATCTTCATTTCTGCAGAATAAACCATTTCCTGAAGAAAAAAATGTGATCTAGATTTTAAAAGTATACTTTACTGAAGAAAAAATGTTCATGTCTAAAATGGGTCTACCCTGGAATTAGGGTACATTGCACCAAAGGGATCTTGTTTTCAATTACTTTTAGAAAATAGCCTCGCAATACAGAATACAGGGATATAATATATCAAGAGCCTATTACACATATTAGTGCACATCTTACTTCAACACTTATAGTTGAAGCTTCCAATTTTTTTCTTGTTAAATTTCAATTTGAGTAAAATTTCCCTTACAAAACTTTTAAAAAAAAATTTTGATGAATGATACTTTAGAAAAGGATTGAATTTACCTAAATGTAAGCTTACTGACAATGAAGTGCCAGAGTTTTGCTTTTAACTTTGCTCTTATGAGTTATCATCATAATAATTAAAGAAAAAGATATCCTAAGTCACTAATAAGGACTTTTTCTTTCTTCATTAGCTCTTGCCAAAGCATTTGGGAGTAGTATACTAAAACAAAACCAGGTAGGAATGAATAACTTAGAGCAAAGCAGACAATTTGTTAGCCTTTAAAAAATGGATAGAGCTGATATAGGAGAAAAGCTAGGAAGAATTTTACTAGGTTTTATTAGGTTTTGTTTTAAATTTCTCCCCCCTGAATACCTGAGAAACCCATAGGTGGTGCTCTTATACCAAAAACTAAGTATGTTATGTTCTGATAGGGATGGCTCAAAAAAACTGTGAATTACTTTACTTTCTGTATATACAACTGCCCAAGGATAAGATACACCACCCATAAATAAGAATGCATATTTTAAGATTTAGTATTTTACATTTCTAATTGAATAAGAGCTTTAAAAACAAAACTATAGTATCATGTTTCTCCCTTAATTGGTTATGAATACGTATTTTGACTTAATTTTGCACATTTGCAACATGACTGAGTTTGGCATTTTGTTTCAAATCCAGCTGGTGGCTTTTTATCAACACATTTTTTGCATGTACAATACATTGGGCATGTAGATAAATATACTCTAGAACAACCATTGCTTATTCCTTTCTCTAAGAAAGAATAAATTCAAATGCCAAGAGTAAGATTAACATTAGGAACCATTAAGAAAGTTTTCTGTCTCTTTTGGGTTAAGAATTTGCACATATATAGATCTACATATATACGTATGTTATGTACGTATCTATCTATATATCTGTATCTGGGTAGATTTGGAATAGTAAGACCTAGATGCTATCTGTTCTAACTGGTATTCACTGGCTCTGTCATTGTATAAACTACTAAACCTCTTTGGGTCTTGGTTTCCTTATGTGTTAAAATAAGAAGTTGCTACCCTAAAGTCTATTTCAGCCCTAAATCACACCCACCCCCATCTACCATCATCATGATATATTTCTACTGCATTTCTGATGGCTTATCAGGATATACTCATACATTTTTCCTTATTTTCTCACTTTTCATTTTCTCTTTGGCCTATTGAAACCAGACTTCCAATTCTTGACTCCATAAAAATCTTGCTAGCAGGCAAGAGCATCAATGACCTCACTGCTGAATCCCAGGGATGCTCAATCTCCATCCTACTTGATCTCTCTGGAGTATCTCAGAGTGATTTGTTTTTTCTTGATACCATATACTACCTTGACTTTGCTGACATCATTTCTTCTTGCTCTCCTATCTGTGACCATTCTGTGTTAGTTCTCTAGCTCTAGATCATCCTCTTCAGCTAGCTTCTGGCAGGCTGGTGTTTGCAGATCATTCCCTAGCCTTCTGCTCTCCTCACTCTCTATGGAAGGTCTCATTCCCCCCCCTACAATTTCAGCTATAATCTATAGTTCATGGGTTTAAGATCTTTAATCCAGAGATTTTTTTTTTGTAGTCAAATGCCCACTGGACATTCTAACCTCAAATTCAACATGATCAGAACAGTGTTATTTCCCAAATCTTTCTTTATCCTATATTCTAAATCTTTGTCTTGGGCATCAGCTGGTTAAAGGAATAGTCACCTAATTCAAATAAAAAGGAAATTTACTTTAATATTACAGGTGATTTCAAGGATTTCCAAGCATAGGAAATAAATCAGGACTTGATCTCAGGGTTGTGAAACAGAGCCCCACGTTGGATTCCACCCTCAGCAGGGAATTGGCTTGAGGTTCTTTCTCTCTACCCTTTCATCCCTCCCCCCAGTTCACATGTGCATGCTCTATTTTTTTTTTTTTGTTCTCTCTAAAACACATAAATAAATCTTAAAAAGTAAAAAATTTAAAAAAATTTTTAAGTAATCTCTACACCCAATTTGGGGCTTGAATTTACAATCCTGAAATCGAGAGTGGCATGCTTTACTGACTGGGTCAGTCAGGTGCCTGAATTACACTTTTTATTTTTGATTAAGTTGTTCTCCAATAGAAGTAAATGTCTTCAAGTAGTAAATATGAAGCCCAGAGGATATGGATGCAAAGTCTGGACTGATTTTAGGTATAAATGTCAGGGGTATTTGACTGCATTAGCATTTGGATTGCTACTTTGTCAGGGCTATCCTTACAAAGCTACATAGTTGTAAGTGATCTGTACCAATACTACTTTTCTCATAAGCCCTGTTAGTTTAGTGTTTAATTTTGTAGAATGTGGGATTTTCCAGAAGTGATTGTATTTGTGTTTCTTCATTTTGCTTAATAGATCTCTTAACAACCAGTATCAACTTCTGGTTCTTAGAATACAACATTTACAAAAAACATATACACGTAATTTACTCTGGTCAGTATCTTTAGGTATAAACAAGCATTCAGGCATTTTGGATGATGATAATTCACTATCTCTACTTTTGATAAATGAAACAGAAACTGCCTAAAGGGTTTCAAGTGTTCATTCAAAAGACAGTAACTTTCCAATTGGACAGCATCTTCTCCATATGATTATGTAATAAATAGGTTATCTGATTAGCTCTAAAAAGCCTATTTAATTCATAGTGGTCCTAAGAGGGCAACTGGAATGAAAAAAAAAATGAAAGAAAATGGCATTTTTATAATGCTAGTGGTTAAGTTATACTCAAAGGCTAAACTAAATATATACAGTATTTAACTTATCCTGTTATCAATTGAGAAAGGGAGAATTAACTGAGGAATGAAGAGGTAGAGATTCTCTGATGGTGTTCCCAGTAAGATTTGGTATTAGTTTTCAGCTAGAAAATACTAAGATCTCACTGCACAGTTTAGAAAATGGCAAAACTGAAATACTCAAGACTTCTTCATGTTTAACCTGATACTATTTCAAT